TTTTCAGGCCATGGCATGTACGGCGTCATCCAGGGGGAGCCCATTCCCCTCCATGAATTGAGATGATGGAGTTATGGATTAGAAAGGCCAAGGTAACTACAAGTGTCAGAGTCGAGGACAGAGGAATAGAGAATTGAACACAAAGAGAATTCTAGAAACAGCACAAGAAAGACTTCAGGTGCGTTCTAACCATCATTTGTGTATGAGAAAACTATCCGAGGTAACAGTAACAAGCAGTTGAAAGGAACAGGAAGGACCATTCCTAACACTCACATAGGGCAGGAAACAATCTGTAATTCCACCAGCCAGTGTGGAAAAATTTAATTAATCCATCAGGCACTGGAAAGAGTATTCAGCATTGAAAAAAAAAAAAAAAATACAGCCCTCCAATAAAGACATCTCTTGTTAGAGGATATCTGTTCTAACTCATAATGACTCTGTGTACAACAGAACGAAACAGTATCAAGTCTTGCACCAAACTCACAACTGTTGCTATGTGTGAGCATGTTATTTCAACCACTGTGTCAGTCCATGTTGCTGAGGGTCTTCCTCTCTTTCACTGACCCTCTACTTTACCAAGGATGATGTCCTTCTCCAGAAATTGATCCCTCCTAATAACACACCTGGGGTGCTGTGGGTTAAACTGCTGGACTGCCAAGTAGGTTTGAAATGCACGGTTGGTGGTTCAAGCTCACCAGTCACTCCTCAGAAATCCTATACAAGGTCTCTATGAATCGGAACTGACTCTATAGCATTTAACAGTAACAACAAATAATATGCCCAATTACATGAGATGACATGTTGCAATTCTTGCTTCTCTAAGGGGGATTCCTGCTGGAATTCTTCTGAGACAGATTTGTTCATTCTTTTGGCAGTGCATGCCATAGTCAATATTCTTTACCAATACCATAACTCAAAGGCAACGATTTTTCTTTGGTCTTTATTCATTGGACAGCTTTTATATACACATGACGTAACTGAAAAATACCATGACTTGGGTGGGGCACACAGCAGTCCTCAAGGTGACATTTTTACTTTTTAACTCTAAGTGGTCTTTTGTAGCAGATTTGCTCAATGCAATATGCTGTTTGATTTCTTGACAGCTGCTATCATGGTTGCTGATTGTAGATCGAAGTAAAATGAAATCCTTGACAACGTCAACATTTTCTCTACTTATGATGTTGCTTTATTGGTCCAGTAATGAGGCTTTTTCATTTAGTCTTTGTTGTTTTTAAGTTGAGGTATTGAAATTGATTCAATAACACCTAACAATAAAGGTTGATCTGGTCCTATCAAAAAAAGCTTAAAAGCAAACCTTGAAAAGATCCAGCTCTTTCCAAGTAACTAAACTGCAGTATAGTTCAAAGCTCAAGATTATTTATGAGAACCAAAAATATCCAGCACAGAACAACATTAAATGCATAATTCCTGACATCCAATATAAAATTACCAGCCAAACAAAATATGACCCATAATCAAGAGAAAAAACAGTCATTAGAAACAGACCTAAAAATGACATGATAGAATTAATAGATAATATCAAGTGACGATACCCATCCACCACCATCTGTTCAAGAAGGAAGTTGAGAGTATACACATATCAAACACACAGATCTAAGAAGTTGCTTCAAAACTTCATGGGGAATTCGCATTATCGTTTCATTCAAATTTTCCAGAATTCCTTTTTGAAGCATCCTCATGTCTGAAAAAGGGAAAATCAATAGTGATCTTTGACACAATCACATCACTGTCTGAAAGTCACTTAAAATCATCAATTACCAAGTTCCTTTCAAAGAAAATGGGGGCTATATCTTTATTCTTTAAAATATTGTGATGGTAAGTAAGTGTCACTCTGGTGTTTCAAAGAATTCTTTCCTGGCTTGACTTGTCAAACGCTTTCATCTCAGTAAATTTGAGATTGTCATAGAGCCTTGGTCAACACTCTGGAACCTGAGACCAACATATGTGAAAGAAATAAGTGACATGGGCTTTTGAAAGTCAAGCGTAGAAAAAAAACCTTACCAAATGTCTGGAAGTCTAACTAAATGGCAATTTCATTTGATGTACCGGAAAGCAAGTTCAGAGAGAACAGTCTAAAAGATTTCACAACAATACAAAATGATACTCTTGTCTTCTGATCTGATACGGCTATCATTTCTCCACTTAATCATGAAAAACTGATGAACTAACCCCATGGTAATTTTCATATAGCTAAGGTAAACAAGCACTCTGGCTGCACATCTTCCAACACACATCTGTTGGTTCTTTTGGCAGCCCCTGACACTTTCAATATTCTGCTCCAACACCATAACTCAAAAGCATCAATTCTTCTACAGTCTTCCTTATTCACTGTCCAGCTTTCACATGCATATGAGGTTACTGAAGATACCATGACTTGGGTCAGGCACACCTTAGTCCTCAAGCTGACATCTTTGCTCTTCAACACTTTAAAAAGGCATTGTGCAGCAGATTTGCCTAATGCAATACGTTGTTTGATTTCTTGATGGCTGCTTCCCGTCATCAGGGACCATTCGCTGGAGAAGGATATCATGTTTGGTAAGGCGAAGGGTCAGAGAAAAAGAGGAAGATCCCCAGAGAGATGGATAAGCCAAGTGGCAGCTTCAATGGACTCAAGTGTGGCAACTATGGTGAGGTTGGCCCACGATTGGACAGTGTTTCGTTCCGCTACACATAGGCTCGCTATGAGTTGGTACCGACTTGGTGGCACCTTACAACAACAGCAAAGGTCAACGAGTTCTTGTATTAAAAGCGTAACATCTCAGAAGAACATTTAAACATTAAAATGCTCTTTAACAACTTAACTAAGAAAATGTGCTATCGTTTAATGATTCCTGAATTTCAGTTCATGAGAAAACGAATACAATAAGTGAACACACAAACATACTTTTACACACACCTTCTTCATATTTAAAGCAAAAAACTGAGTCACAATGTATAATTGATAATATTCCACTAAGAAGGGAAGATAATGATCTAAGTTCAGTTAAGATATTAAGAAAGCTACAGAAAAAAATATACTTTGTTTATTCTATTTAATTCATGTAAGAGTTTAATAACCCATACAACAAGTTTCAGTGTATACCTCACAAACTATCCTGAAGGCAGCAGGGAGGTGGCCAAGTCTCCTGTCTCCTGGTTGCTCCCCTTGGGTGATGGAGAGCTGGATACTGGACTATTAGTAGGGAACGACTCAACAGGCCACAGTGGTCTCCACGCTTTTATGCTTGTGGACACATTTCAGTAAAAAAAGTTCGGTGCATATACTTCCACAAAAAATGTGCTTATACATTATACTCATGAGCTGTCCTGTTTATTAAACTGTATGTTAAATCAGTTGCCATCTAGTGCGGCCCAAGGCATGGTGACTCCATGCTTCTCAGAGTAAAATTGCTCCCTGGAGTTGTCATTGGCTGAGTTTTTTGGAAGACATCCAGCCTTTCTTGCAAGGCACCTCAAGGTAGACTAGAACCACCAACCTTTTGGTTAGCAACCAAGAGTGATAACCACTTTTCCAAATAGTGTATACCCAGCAATTCCAAATAGTGTATACCCAAACCAAATCTACTACCATTAAGTTGATTCCCACTCATAGTCCTGTGTGGGTGTCTGAGTCTGTAAATCTTTACAGGAGCACACAGCCTCATCTTTCTCCTGCACAGAAGCTGGTGGGTTTGAACCTCGAACTTTGTGGTTAACAGGCTGCTGCTTATCCTACAGTGCTCCTTAAATAGTATATTAGAAGTGGTGGTGGTGGTTCTGTGCTGTGGCATTGGTTACATCTCATAGCAACCCTGTATACAGTTTCCAAGCAAGACTGGTGAGTTTTAAGTGCTGACTATGCAGTTCAAACCAACCTTGATGCCCACCCATTGCTTCTCGTCTGGTACCTCACCAGGACTATGGTAACTCATTATTGTACCATACTCATATCCAGATGGGAAGACAGGAATGGTTCTCTAACTTCTACTTGACCAGCAAAGTCTCTCAACTATTGTTTCTCGTTCACTGTACTTTATCAGTAGCAACATGCATGTGGCTTTGTTGGCAACAGTACCAAAAGCGTCTCTCTACTTGATCCCTTTAATAACAACTGTTGCTCTCAGGAGCAAAGATGGATCAAGAATCCTGACATATGACACAGAAGGGTCTGGACAAGCCCAAGTGGGTCCAAAGGGGGCCCGGGAGGTTCTGGTAGTAGAAAAGGGAAATCTGCCCTGTTGATGGGAGGAGGCTTGAAAAGGATCTGAGTGAGTTCTAGAGGCTTGAAATAACCCTTGAGTAGGCATGGTGGGGTGTTTCACAATGTTTTGGGAATAATTAGTCAGGAAATTCCATCTTTCTCTCACTAAGGAAGCTGTTGGTTAGTTATGCCTTCAAATCTTCATAAAATGACAGAAAGCGACTATTCACTCTTTCACGGGGAAGAAAGTCCACGACATCCACAGCTGAATGATGTCATCTTCCCATGATAGCACAACCTCAGGTCTCCCTTCATTTCTCACACAGACAGAACAAGTTTCAGCACTGTTGTTTGTAATCTTGTGTCCTGAGGTGACTAATAATCCCACCCACTTTATGATTACAAGGAGCTCTGGTAGTGTAGTTGTTACCAATCGGGCTGCTAATCTCATGGTCAACAGTTCAAAATTACCAACTGTTCCGCAGGAGAAAGATGAGGATTTTTGCTCCCATAAAGATTTATAGCCTAAGAAACCCTGTACAGGGTTGCTATGAGTCGGAACCGACTCCATGGCACATAACAACAACAACAACCTTATGGTTACAATGCATGTGAGGTCAAGCTGGAAAGGAGAAGGGCACAATAAATAATGCAAGGCTCCAACAACTGTCCACAAGGAAGGGAGCGCTGCAATGCTCTGATGCGCAGAGAGATCTAAAGGGGTGGGGTGTTGGGAATGTTGACTTGACCAGAGCTGAACATGGGTGGGTGGTTTTCAGGTTTTTCTTTTTGAACTTACATCGCTGAGCCTCTCCTGGGAGCTGCTCCGGTGGAAGCCCTTGGATTCTCCGCTGACACTCTCGCTGTCACTGTCTCTGCAGCTGTTCTGCCCTGGCTTGAGCTAAAGGGAAAAAAGAAATAAGAAAGACAAGTCAGTAGGTTCCTCACACAACTGCTTCTTAGTACCTGATGTTCCTAGACATAAGGAAAAGGCAGAAGACTTTGGGTCCTGATCATGTGCATTCTTCTCTATGTCTGAACAGGGTGAGGCAGGGTAGACAGACACACCGAGGGCAGTGTCAAGCAAAACATACTGTCAATGTAGGGAACAGCATGAACCTCAAGGTGACATCAGAAAGTCTAATCAAGGCCCCTAGCTCCTGGACTGTAATGTCATCAGGGAATTTTTCCTTTAATTTCATTGTTTTGTTTTCAATAAAAAACCATAAGCATTAAATAAAGTAAAACCAGATGACACCAAGTCAGCTCTTATGTTTGGTGTCTTCTGCTCCTCTACTGAGAAAAGAAACAGCTAAACAAAAAGGTTCTTTCTCCTGAGAGAAAGTTCTGAGTTGTTGCGATATTGTCTTTCAACCAATGGAGAAACTTTTATGATGTGTTTTGAGACGACATTCCGGAGGGTCTCCTGTCAGATATATTAAAGTAGCAGATGAAGACACGGGGCTTAAGTAAATTATTCACTCATTCAACAGATATACATTAAGTGTCTAATTTGTGCTGGTTAACTAAATGCTGAAGATAAAATCCTAAACAAGAAAAGTCTCTGATCTGATTTCGCTCACATGCTAGTGATTTCCAACATGTCTGCCCAGCTCAGGTTTTTCACAGAAAATGAACAAGCACACAGAATTGAGAGCCATCAGTCTATATGAGACAATGCGTCACACACATGTGGACCGTGACTCTATGTTACCATCTGCAATCACACTGCAGAACCTCCACTGAGAAGCAGAAGGTTCTAAGACATAGGCCCTTCATGGAGTTCTAGACCCAGCAAGAGGAAGACAGTGTCACTCACAAAGAACCAATGACACAAAGGAGTATTGCTAAATGGAAACCAAAAGAAAAGTCAATGACATTCAGAGATGAAGAGATTTCTGAAGCCTTGGATTTTCAAAGCCCACTGACCACATATGGCTGAGAGGATGAGGGAAGAAATCACTCCCCATGGGGGTGGGGCAGAAAGCGAAGGCACGGAGAGCTACAGGCCAGGAAAAGATCAGAAGGCATTTTCTGTGACAAGAACTCCTTTCAGGAGGACATTGGAAGACACATTAGAGACGGGTGCACAGATCAGAACACGGAAAAGTCACAACTGAAGACAAGCCCCAGTTTTCTGAGCAGGAGGGAAATTCAGAGATCAGAAGAGGTGAGAGAGATCAAAACTATAGTCAGCCAGGTTTTAAATGGCTGTGGAGCGAAGAGGGGAGATGATTTAAATCAAGTCAAAGAACAGTGAGAGTGGAGGGGCTTCCTGGGACCCTCGATGAGTCATGAAGACCTACTTTTCAGAACCCCACTTCCAACCATACCATCAGCCATGCCCCCTGACACTCCACAATAGAGCATTCTCTTTGGACTCTCTGCAAATCCACTTTTAGTGGTTTCTTCTAGAATCTCTTTCTCCAGGAAGTCTTCTCTAATGGAGACCAGAAAATGGATGCTAATTTTACTTTGTATTCTCCTGAGCCTCTAAGTACTTAGTGTTCTGTTAAGTTGATGCTAAACCTGCTAATTCTAGGTTAATTCACATGCAAGCTCTACATGAGCCTTTTATTATTACTATGGAATAAAAGTTCAGAATATTGTCATTCTCTTCAAGTTTTCACTCTCTACTTATAATAAAGGGGGATTTAATCTAAAATGAACATCACCTCCTCTCATTTTCTAACATATTAGGTCTGTCCTGCCCTACCTTTCCTGTCTTCAGGGCTCCCCTAACCTCCTCTGAATTTCTGAGCTCAAGAATTTTTTAAAGCTGATTAAAAAAAAAAAAGATCTCATCTCTTCTACTGAGAACTCTGTAGAACTCATTTATTGTACATAAAAATTGTTAAATACATTTTCAAAGTTTAGCAAGCATATTATCGCCCACCAATATGTTGTTAAGTGTAGTCAAGTCATCTCCGACTCATAGTGAGTGACCCTGTGTTGGGTTTCCAAGGAGTGGCTGGTGAATTTGAACCGCTGTCTTTGTGGCTCAAACTGACATTGTGGTCCCCTGCTTATCCTACACCATGCTACACCAGGACTCTGTTCATCAATATATACTTATGACAAAAATTATGATACATTTTCAAGTCTAAAGAGGCCTATTGTCAGACATTTAGACATAGTTATACTGCTCCTCTAGGGTAGTGGTTATGAATCGGGCTGCGAACCTTAAGGTCAGCAGTTTGAAACTATCAGCTGTTCCGCGGGAGAAAGATGAGGCTTTCTGCTGCCACCATAAAGATTTACAGCCTCAAGAACCCTGTACAGGGTTGCTATGAGTCAGAACCAACTCCACAGCACACCACCACCACCATACTGCTCCTCAGAAACCATATACAGCCTCGCTACGAGTCAGGAACAACTTCACGGCACATAATCACCACCACCACCACCACCACCACCACCATACTGCTCCTCAGAAACCACATACAGCCTTGCTATGAGTCGGAACCAACTCGATGGCATTTAACAACAACAACGTATTAACAATAAAATCTGTCTGTGAAATGGGTGTTCTAATACAAAAGCAATATTATAAGTCTTACCCCACTGGTCCTTTAAGTCAAGGGCAGCCAAGCTACTGTCCATTTATAACTGGAGAAATAAATAGAGTGAATGCTTTGCTCAGAATTCGGCCAAGGATCTAGAATCAAATGGCTTTATTGCTTACTGTTCTCTTGATATTTTAAATCTGAATGGCCTTTTCCATTTCCAGGTCTAATATGGAAATGATGATTCTGCAGTATATATATTAGTGTTCCCCGTCTAATATGGTTTTCATTTCTTTGTGGTACCTGGCTGCATTCACAAAGACAGGAATCTGGCTAAGTGACATTTGATCAAGAGATGTTTATAAAAACGCAGTTCCCAATGTAGCTGGGAACTACGCCTCTAGCTGGGACTGAAAGGTATAAACACGTCAAGGCTTCTCTAATACCCAAGTGCCTTAGCAAAACCAATGAAGCCTTTTCTATGCTTCTTTTGGGAAGGGGAATGATGATTTCAAACGGCCCAACAGAAGACCCAGTGTCCCTGACGCAAGCTATCCGACTAAATGTTGATCTAGGCGAAGGGTACACAGTGAAAGCAATGCCCACGAAGGGATGGGAAGAGGCAGCTTGCTAGCCTTGCCCAGGCTCTGCCAGCAAAAGCATTTCAGCAAATGCTCTTCAGAGAGCCTTACATAAAATCCGCCCCACGTTATCCCTTTCTCTTCCAAAGCCAGGCTCAAGTTTAAAGGAAACTTAGGATTTTAAGCTGTCAGACAGCTCAATATTTCAAAGAAATGGACTGACTACAGTAAGCACTAAAGCTAAACCACAAGATTTCAGGCAAAGAAGTATTCATTCCTAATCCCATGAATACATTTTCAAACTGGCCTTTGCAGACTTAGCCAATGGAGCATTTGGGATAGCAGAAGTAACTCAGAAGTTGTAATCCTTTCACCTGAAATTCCCAGCTATTACCTACAAGCTAGAGGCCAGGTGCTGGCTTAAACATTTAAAGACCTAAAAAAAAAAAAATTGGTTTTTTTGCATTGATTTGTGCTTTATTTCTGTTATAAGAAAGCTTTTGCTACAACTGATACAATGGGATCTCTCACAATCATCCATTAGATAACAAAACACAGCATTTCTCTTAAAACAACTATAACCAACTCTGAAATTCGAGAATAATGTCACACAATTTAGGTATCAGAATTAGAATAGAAGAGATCAAATGAAAGGGAATTGGTATCTGTGTATGAGTGGCAGTAACTCTCCCAAGACTCATTATTTTATAAAACGTAAGCAGCCAGTATACTTTTCCTTAGATTTAACTGTCAACAACGCATTCTCCAAACCCTGAAACTGTGACCTTCTTAACAGTGTTACAGTATAACTAACAGCCCACAATTGCCATTTGAAATATTATAGCATAGTTCACCCTGCTCCCCCCTTTCCCTCCCACCTCATCCTATGGAAAAATCATAAATAAACTTCTTACAGAAAAGCCTTGAAGGCCAGAATGATCCAAGGACACCTGAACAAACAGGATAAAACTTAGCCCATCCATACAACCAAGATAAGGGTTTAATGGTGGGTTTACTCCCACTTACCGGGTAAGGGTCTGTGAGAATTTACCACCCCAGCTGACAAGACAAGTCTGTGTGTTCTAACCTCTCTGTGTTTCTTGTTTAAAACCCTGTTCCCCTCCTCACTTCTGGGTCAGAGTGATTTGGGTTTGAGCTGACAGTCTGGTAATAAACTTTGCTCTCTAAGTTTTCTGAGTTGAGTTCTTTCTGATAGGCACTGCTGCAACAAGAGAGCAGCCTGCAACAGGATTGACTTGATGGCTGATCAGGAAAATAATAACGCCTGGTGTCCTTCCTCATGCTGAAGAGCACATAACTAAGTGCCGGTGCCCTGCTGAGAGAAGGTGAGCGATTCTGTACACACCTGGCGCAGCATGCAGGCACCAGGCAATGACCATTCCCTTCTCACCTTGAGTTTAGCGGGTGGCAACAAGGTACTAGATGCCCAGCTGGTGTCATTAACACTTGCACCCAAAGGTACACAAGGATGGCTTCTGTGGAGCATTGCTGCCACTTAAGAGCAGTGCTGTGAATACCGCAGTGCAAGGGTGAAGGCCCAAACCATCTCCTTCCAAAGTCCGGGTTTCTCAAAGCAGCCTAAACGGGGGCTTCAAACGGTACGCAGAAAACTTCTAGTCTTTTTTCATCCCATTTTTCCAGGAATTTTCTGAAGACCTCCTCATATATCCCATTTCAGACTGCAGACTTTTCCTGTACGGACTGAAATTACTTTCCGGACAATGTTTTAAAAATGTGTCTATAACCTCAACGTGTCCATTTCTCAGTTAAATTTTATCCACACCTACAGACTT